TCAACTGCACATTTGACAACTTCGAACGTAGAATGCGAGAACGAATGAACTTGTCATGCGTGTCAGAACCAAGGGAATACATGAAAATGTACAAACTTGTATCCGTAATCCGACGACTAAGAATGCATTGAGCAGTTTGCAGACTGCGTTTGCGAAATCGTTTCACAAATTTCATCCCTTGAGTACTGGTCTTCAAAGTTGAAGGTCCGAATTGTTGCTTACCAATCCGAAGTTGTTTCATCAAAGGATTGATCCAAGGCCAATTGTAAATGGGGCGAAAAGTCCTTTGGCATGCTGTTTCAACTGCAAGAAGCTTATCAACGTCAGTCTGGAGTAAAGGAAAATCAATATATTGAAAATAATTGCGTTGTGCTGACCAGGCCTTCAAAGCTGGTTCGTAGTAAGCAAGTTGGTCTTTCTTTAACTGTCGGTATTTTCGTAACCGACTCTGTTCTCTCGAAAACATGGTTTGTTCAGTGGAGCCAATGTAAAACTGAGCATTTCGAAAATGTAAACGACAGTACACGATGCTCGACCTGTTCCACCATGTCCATGACAAAATTTCTGGAAGTTCGCACTGCCGCAAAATAGTCAGAAGACGTCGATTTTTGGCTGAAAAAGGTCGAATGATGTAAGCAAAAATGGTCCAAACACTAAGTATCCACATGATCCGTTCCTGTACATGCCATGGTAAAGCTGGAGAAAATTGCAAAGTGTAAATCATGAATTGGATGCTAGCAAACCACAGCGACTGAAAATGTGAGGCAAGCTTCGTTGTCTCTGCACCATGCATATGCTTGGAATACTTGCGAAATGGCTGCCCCCATGATGATGGAGGACTTACTTCACTGGTTTGTAATCCAAAATGTCAGTTTCGAAGGAATTGAACGGCGGCCAAAACCTTCAAATTGTATTCCGCCTTTGTTTCGGCCAGTACTGTACTGGGGAGACCCCAATCTGAAAGAATCGATTCTAAATTTGGTCTTTCAGAGGCTGGAAACTGATTGTATTCGTCAGTAATGGTCTTCAACATGGCATCAACATTGACTTGTTCCGTCTTAGGAACATTGTTCTTGATCCACTTGTCGAGTTCAGTCATGGTATGTTTGGGTGTGTGTGTGCCTAAGATGGGTGCGTTTTGTCCACGTCGATATTGTGAGAGTGGAGAACGGTCATCTTGGGCTCCCGGCATACTTGGCATCGACTGACTTTTTTGGCGTCTGAGTTCCTCTGTTGCTGATTGACGAAACATGGATGGGAGTGTTCCGCCTGGTGGTTCCTCAGTGTTCTGAGTCTGTGATCCTTCCTGAGTAGGAACTTGACTTTGGTTGGCACGAAGAGCTGCGTTCTCTTTCTTCATTCTTTCCAGTTCTTCTAACAATGATTGATTGGAATCTTTGGGTGCCAAAGTCTTGAACAAATCAACAGTCTGTTGAATCAACGCCTCAATTCCTGAAAGCTTGTATTTCCAATCTTGAGAATCACCTGGTTCTGAAGACAAATGCTGGATGAGCTTCGCAAAATCAACATTGTCTTTTTGTCGGTAGAGTTCACGAAAAAGCATGGTAGAAAATGTGGCTTCAAGGCGATTTCGAAACATCTCACATGCGACATACCTACCATTGGCAACAAGGCGCAAAGCCCAATTTTCAAGACCGTTGGACACAATGTCGACAAGCTTAACATCAGAAATAGGAATGCCAGCTGTATTGTTCTTTCGTGAAAAATTGGTCGACTCAACATGTCGTGGAAAAGTCAATCCATACTCCGTCTTTGTATCATAATGGGTTCGTGTGGATTGCCACGAATCAGGTAAGTGTGGTGATCGTGCACGACTGAGGTCTTGGGTCCGGGACAGCGGTCGTCTTCGATCACGGTATTCCTTAGACTCGTGTCGACGATGTCCACGACTGCGATGTCGAGATCTGGATCGAGAATCTCGGCGTTGAGACTGCATCTGTCCAAATACTGATCACAAACGGATTGAAGAACGACTTACTGACGGGTTTGATCCACTGTGAATTATACCAATCATGGAAAACAGTAATGAAAAATTGAACAGAACCAGACAATTTTGATGCAAGTCAAATTGTAGTACTCAAGAAAAACAGCAGCTGAATTAGACTTAACAAAATGTAAATACTCTTGATTTCGAAATCGTCACTGGGAAAAACATCAAACGTATGTGACTGTAACTCACAAAAAGGTGACTTGGACGAAATCTGAAATGACTCATGAAGAGATGGCTTGATAAATGAAACCGCTCAAAAAGTGATACAACAGAGCGCAGCTTTTGATCTATGGAGCGCAACAAAATTGTGTGACTTCCATGATCATTGATCATGATGATGGGATGATACAAGCTAAATGGCTAAGCGGACTCAAATGAGAACGAAGACCCCAACGTTTGTCACGTCCATGTACACTGTCAAAATAGTGTGTACAAGCATGTTCTCCAATAACACCGCCGAGAACGTTGGTCACATGTGGTTGTCTTGATTTAGACATACCGAGCAAACATGTAGGACGATCAGTGGTAAAATTGGAATATTTCTGTGCCTTTCTCAAGGTTGTGAGCATCTCTGATCTGGTCATAACAGGTCTTGCCACAGTAACGCCACGACAGAAAAAGGTCAATGCCGGGATCCATGTCTCGTCTTGTGGGTCAGTGGATGATGGTCTGATATACCCATGGAATAAACTGTCTGCAGCAGATTGTGGATTCGTGTTGTGTGCGTAACATATGTATTCTGCAGCAGGAATTTCTGGTTCTTGTGTAAAAACGACTGGTTCCAAGCGAGCGACAAAGGCCACAAGAGACTGATTCTGGTGATCAAAGAGTAAGTCGATGCACTCCACGAAAGCCCAAACTTCAGAATGTAGAAGGAGAGTAGAGATCAATACTTCGAGTGCGGAATGGATGATTGAAGAGAATTTTTCAAACTTGGCGGAATACTCATCTTTGAGGATCTGCATATGGTCAGTCATAAGTTGTTGTTTTAACAGCGCAATCGAGTCAATAGTTCGAAAAGAGTATTGTTGCTGAAAATATGTCAAAGATGGCGTCCATTTGTCAACTGCCAAAGTGAGTGCACCAGTTTCATATGCATTCTTGATACGGTAAGGATCTTGATAGAGTTCTTCACGAATGCGGCCCATGCACTGATATAGGAACCACCAAGGTGATTTCTCAGGTTGTTCTAAAGTAATACAATCACAGCAAAATGTGGCAGTGGTGGGTAGCGTCCAAAAAGAAATCTGATCACTCTGAGGGTGTAAAAATTCAATAATTTCAACAGTCAAAGGAGGCCGTCCAATGCGAGTCGTAACCTTTGGTCTAGGTCCGGGTAGTCTTCGATCACTAGTGAAGGTCTTCTTGTGTCCATGATGGTCATGTAAACAATGTACGAACAATCCCCAACGTGGAATGGGAGCAACTGAGACTGACGGCTGGTCTATAAACATTGATGCCCGAACTCGATCCCGTTGATCTGATTCAGAAGTCAGAGGCACCCGGACCGTTCCATCGCTTGGTAAATCAGCTGTAACAGTGGGACGTACTCGATCCACTCGGTCATTTGATGTGATCTGATTTTGACGATCATCAGTGACTAAGGGCAGTGCAACTTGAGAGCTACGGTTCTGACGTTCCACAGTGTCTGAGGGCAGTGCAGAATGAGAGCCCAATCCAGAAACTACGTTCGATCCGTCCATTCGATCATCACGATCAACAATTGGTGCACGAAATGAGCTGGGTTGAATGCCAAGAGCATTGGAGAACATCATATTTTGTGACAAAGTCAACATTTGTTGAAACTGCATGTGTTGAACATGTTGAACATGTTGAGACTCCGTATGAAGAACAGTCTGGAGTAAGTCCCGTGTCTCTTGAATGTTGGATCCTTCAATTCGATATTGTCCGCATTGTCCTGTAAATTCAAGAACTGTAGGACGACTTTGGCGACTTACAGGTGTGATCCAGGATGGTGGAGGAGTAGGACTAGGTGGACATCGCGACTTTGGTACTGCAGCTGGAATATCAGATTTCGACATGGCTCAAACAGATACAGAGGAAAGGTGAAAAACAAAAGAACTAAATGATGACAGAACAGATCTGAGTTGCCCGAACGTGTAGAATGTAATAAATTCGTGTCTGTCTTTCAGAATTCCAGCCATACGGCTTGCTGCTGTCTTGTGACGTATTCCAAATCTTGTGAAATCTTGCATTGTATTTGATTCATGTATTTCGGCCTGAAGCCAATTCACACGGGAATTAATACCCGTCAGATTTCGAGGTATTGCAGTACCCCACTATTCTTCCGGAAGGCCGGTACCGATTCAACGCGTGTCACCAAACACGCGGACGGCAGTCACAAGTCAGTGACACTGTGCCCGTTACACACTGCTGATGGGAGCATGTTACTGAGTAACATTACTCGAATGAGGAACTTTATAGTGATGAAGTAGTTCATGCCTTGAGGGTTCCTAGGTCCAAAATCCTGGTCAGTCGAGTAGGGAAAGCAGTGGGAAACTCTGATTTCTGAGATAATCTCAAATTAGCAACATATACGCATGAAAATGGACAGCTTGTTCAACAGTTCAAAACCAACTTCTGCAGGTACAGGGAGGTGATCAGTCTCCCCTTCCCACCAATGGCAATAGCTTCGTTGCGTGCAGTATGCCAAAGGTGCTGCACGCCCCTGCATCTGATGGATTGTTTGAATCAACTTGTTAACAGAAACTCAGGTCCGCATGAGTGATAGCGGATTTCACACACACACACCAACCCCGCTGCTCCCACCACCGCTGGACCTTCAATGAACAAATCCAACAACACTGCCTTTGGTGCAGAAGTTAACCTCAAGGGTCTAGTTTTGCTTGTCCATGCTCAAGCCTGCAATAGCCTGCATATTGTTTGTTTTCATGGGCAACACACCAGGCTTACAAATGTATGCTTTGTTTTGTTATTATTCACATCTATCCCCTAGAATGCCCTGAGCAAGGCAGCGGAAGATCGACAAAGCACTTTGGAAAATCAGAAAGCGCTGAAGGTGGGTGATTCAGTGGTTCTTGGCAGCTGGGAAATGGGAAAGGTTCCCTAAGAGAGCTTCGGAAGGCTTAGAATCCTGGAGAAGACACATGTGTTTCTTAGTGTTTGTAGGTGTTCCCTGAGATTTGTTGCCTCACTGCTGAGAGGTTGCGATACAGCAGAAAGGTGCAGACCCTTCTGCTGATGCAGGTGACTTGCAATGGGGAAAGGAGATGGGTGAGATGCATTTCCACGTGCTGTTGGTGTCTCCCCAAGGAAGGATTGCTAATTCACACGATCCCATTGACAAACATGCCTTGGCATCAGCCGTCTCTCTGTACCTTTGGAGAACACCCAGCTGGGTTTTACTATGGAGGGCTATTTTTTGGGTGAATTATGTTTTTCCCGTTTTGGATTTGTTTCTTGGATTTCTGTTTCCCTGCTTCTTTGGTTTTCTGCTTTTCCCTGCTTCTTTACTTCTCTGCTTTTCTGCCTCTTTGCTTGTCTTCTTCAAGATTTCTGCGTTTCTGCTTCTCTGCTGTGTGCTTTTATGCTTTTCCCTGCTTCTTTGCTTCTTTGGTTTTCTGCTTTACCTTGCTTCTTTGCTTCTCTGCTTCTTTGCTGTTCTGCTTTTCTGGTTTCCCTGCGTTTTTGCTTTTCAAGCCAAAACAATCCCTAAGACAGACTATGTAAATAAACTCTAAACCACCCTAGATAAACCCCAAACCAACCCAAAAAGAATAATAAAAAAACCGAAGTAAACTAAACCCTAAACAAAGCCTAAATAAATATGAAAACTTCCCCCAAATAGATCCTAAACCAACCCTAAATAGATCTCAAGCCAAGCCTAAACAAACCCTGAACCAAGACGAAATAAACCTTAAACAAACTTTAAAGATCCTCAACAAACCCTAACTAGACCTTAAACCAGGCCTAAGCAACCCTAAACCAACCCAAAAATAAACCTAAAACCAACCCAAAAAACTAAACCAACCTGAAAACAGACCCCAAGTCAACCCCCATGCGACATGAATAGTTCGAACACCAAAATGTTGCAAATACCATGGCAAATGAGAGGTTCGAACTCCAAAATGTTGCAAAATGCCGTTGAAATGGCAGTTTCCAGCTCCAAAATGCTGCAAATAGCAAGGGAAACGGATAGAACAGGAGATCCCCAAAAAATCATTCCCAAAACAATTCCGGACCCTTTTATTATGTACAGTTGTAGTACTCCACTACTCTGGTGCGTTGATGTATGAGTTGCAACCCTTTGACTCAAAGACCCTGTTTTGCTTGATGAAGAGGAAGTCTATTCCGAAAGACACTGCATCGTCATCAGCAGGCCACTACACTGCGAGGAAAAGCTCAACACATACGGTATCAAGCTGCATTGGCATCTCTACATAGCATATGTCTGATTTGGATATGTTTGGATGTTTCTTTCATTTTGTTTCATCCTTCCCGTCACCTTGCCACTTGAACCACGTTGCCATGCATATGCCATGCATCACAGGTGAGGTAGAGAAAGAAGCGGAGATTGAAACTCAGCAAATCAGGTTCGGCGGGAACACCATCTCCATCTCCTCATGGGAGAAGCTTCCACTGACTTCCGAAATTGAACCAAACAAGAGATCATCTGTATTCATTGATGACATTTTGCGACTCAATGTCAGGATTTGTGACTCAATGCCAGTCTTGTCATTTAAGAAGGACCCACTTAAACAGAACTTCAACTGGCAATCTAAACTGTTTCTTGCATCTTGCAGTTTTTTTTGTGTTTTTTGAATCGATGAGCATTTAGCAAATTTAGCCGCAACGCAAGCTGTCGCAATGCATACTGCAGGAGTGAGCTGGCCTCGATTGAGGACTGGGTTGTAAGAACAGGAAGAAATGTTGAGAAGCATACGGCACATAATGGAATGATATGGAATGCATCAATGTAGTCAGATAAGCACAGATTTATTGAGGCTAGATAAATCTAGATAATATATATGACATTATATGACATATATGCACACGAGATCACACGAGAATACATGTCACGTACTTGCGCACTTTACAAACCTCCACAAACTTCGCGGCAGTTGACCCACATTGCCCCAGTTTGGCAAGAAGACACGACATCCATCACCACGTGGTACCCCACTGACGAACTGGGAAATTAAAAATGAAATTCAGAATAGGTGTTCAATTGGTCTTTTAGGAGCAAAATATACACAAGAGCCAAAAGTTGATACATGATGATACATGCATTATCTGCCATTTTTGTGGCGGCTTTGTTGCGTTCAGCCATGGAGGTTCGCCCTCTCAGTTTCCCCACTGAGTCCACCCACTGGCATAGTAGTTCCTGCTTCATCCTGCTTCCATGGTATAATTATCGAATTGAAAAACACCACAAGCTGAGAAAGATGGTTGCAGTATGTTGCAGTTGCAAACGCATGAAGGTAAGTGCAAGGCAAAGGGTGCAATTCCCCCGATCTTAGAGTTTTTTGACCGTACTTTGGCAGAGAGACTTGGAAGGAGAAATGCCAACAACTTCGCAAGAAGCTGAAAGACGTGGCAAAACATGGTGATGAGGACAGCGGAAGGAATATCCCGCTTTTGGACTTTGACACTTGGTGCTGCTTTGTACGAGTTTGTACAAATTGTTGAAATCATTGTTAACCTTTACGTGTGATCAACTGAGAGACTGTGTATAACTCTTGCTGGAATTTCCATTGAAGGAAAGCTGCCTCGTTCTGCCGGTAGGAAGTGGATAAACTTGAGCTGACACTTCAGAACGCTCGCGACGATTTGGAAAGGACGCATCAGGGAGGCCATGTTGAGGGCATTTTAGGATCATTTGAAGTGTACCGTCATTTTACTTCTGTACATATTTAAGAATGTGAACACAGTTTTACAACAATTTACAACCCCACAGAAGTGTTTTGTCGTTCAAGGGTTCTGTTTCGGTTCCATTCTGCTTTTGGGTTCGGCAAGCAGACTATGCACACCACTGAAATCTTACATGCAATGTTGCTGGGAATGTACATGTTGTTCTGGGTTTTGAGACACATGGACAAAAGGTAACACTTGATTGGCCTGAAAATGGTGTGCCGGCTGTGTGAGACCATTGCACATCGCTTGCAAGGAGTTTTACCCAAGCAGCAGATGTACAACGAGCAGAGGCAGTTTTGTTTGGTCTTTGAACTCAGCCATGTCCACATTCCTAGAATTTAGTTTAGAGAGGTTTGAAGTGCAAGTGTAGCCAAACAGAACAATACGTTAAGTTCACCGCATCAACAGAGAAGTGATATTTGAAGGCAGGCCATTCTGTTGCATGGCGACTGAAAACCCACACAGAATGTTGATTTGCCTTTTCGATGTGAGTTTTGCCCGCAGTTGCGTGGTGTATGGACTCAGGAAACTAACCTGGCCGAGTCATTATTTCGCCAATGCTTTAGCCCACTGCTAAATCTGATATAGTACATGTAGGCATGGAATTATTGAACTGAGTGTTTGACTCTTGTCAATTGAATCAATGCGTCACTTGCACATTGCGCGCGATGAATTCAACGGACGTAAATCCGTTTGTTCAAGTCAACGCTAAGTTCCCGCAGAAAGTCGATGGCCAGGTCACCACCATTGAGAACAAGGTGAAGGCGGGCTACCCCAAAGCAATTCTGATGCTTTGGGCTGCGACAAAATCTGGGAATGAGAGAAGACATGCACTGTAAGTTCCGCTGTAACGAATCCGGGTAGGAAGGAACACCGGGTATCAAAAGGGGTACAGAGTACAGTAATGGACAGACTGGTTTGGATGCGACCTTCTACCTGCTCCACAAGGCGACAAGACTAGTGTACTGATGCGTCCTGGAAAAAAAAGGGAAAAGCCAGTGATGTCGCTAAATGCCGTGCAGCCTTCATGGACTCATTCACCAACTCACTTTCTGCATGCATCTCTGCGTGTAATTACTGACAACAGAGAGAGAGAGGGAGAGAGATGTTGAAGCAAAGCCCTTTTAAGGCAAGAATGTTGTGTTTTCTTTGTCTTCGGATGTCGTCCGAAAAGCAACAACATAGGTTGAGCATGATCGAATATGATTGTCCGCATTCAGCAATACCAAGGCTGAACGGCAAAGACTCAACATCGAGGTTCGCATGGCCATGGGACTCAACTGCCACCTGGAGTTTGGAACACAAAGGCAGCGATGTAGCGATGTAGCATAGAGTCATAGAGTTCAAGGATGTTCAAGGTTCAAAGTGAAGGGCTGGATATGGCTGCATCGTTTGACGCATACTTGCGACATCTTCATGCGTTGTCACGAAAGCTCGCGGTAGCTAGCTGGAGTTACTCTTGCTTCAGCAGGGGGAGGGGCAGGTCTGAATCCAACAGTGATTTTTCACTCGAAAACCCCCCCTCCCTCACCCAAAGCTCTCGGGGCATTTTGGGGTGGTCTTGGAAGCAGATGGTCACGGGCTCAAATCCTGCCAGGTCTCTAGGCAATCTGTATTCAGCATATCCAACTCCCACCACAATCCCATCGTGTTTCCAGGCTCATATTATGAACCTTAGCTTTCGTTAACCCCCCCGTTGGGCCTCAAGTCCTTTAGTTCTTTGACTTTGCATGGCAAAGGCATGTATTTTCAGAATCACATAAAATTATATAGTATTATATAGTACAGTATTATATGATTGTACAATATTGTATAATATTGTATGTATATATATATATATATACACAGAGAATATCGGTACTTGTACTAGTATGTCGAAGAAGCATTTGTTGAATGCTCATGCCAGACCTATATAAATTCCATAGATTTCCATGCCCATGCCATGGATCCATGGCCTTGGGATGCCGGTGCCTCGCAGACTGCGAGCCGCAACACCTGCCGGGAATGCATTGAAGAACTACGCCAAAGCTTGCCGGGGCACCTGGTAGCTACCGTTGTTTTCCCTTCGAGGTATTTAAAGAGGTGGAAGTCCCATGGTTTCCCATTCACTGAATTGCAACCACTTGAGGAAACGGGGTCGTTTATGTTACGACTTGTTACATCTTGTTACGTAAGTACATGGGTGATAGGCCTATCCACTAATAGCGCATATACTAATAGAAGAGTATGACACTAATAGTTTAGTTTACAAACTGACCTGCGAGAGGCCTTGAGATTTGGACGGAATAGACCGCTTTGGGATCCTTTGGGGTTCATTTTGAGCAGCCCTGGGTTCGAGTTGAAACCTGATGGAGTACCACAGACATCCCGAAGGCCTTCCTGTGACGTTGACCGCTCCTGAGGTTAAAAGCAAAGACTGCGCCATCATTGCCAAGCTCTCCTGTGGTGCTCCATATGCAATGCATGGGTGTGGGTGGCGGAAGAAATGGAGGTCGTTTTTGTTATTGCATTTGAGAGATTAATTACATTCGTGGAAAATCCAAGTTTGAACAGCAGCCCAATGGGTGGTGCATCAATTCGTTCGTTCAGGGATACTTTTTTGCATTAACGTCTTGGGTCCACTCTGATTGCATGGTCATAGTTTTCCGATATGTGCTTTTGATCCAGCTTGGGTCAGAACCAGTTGTATAGTACCAGCTGCTGGCATGGGCCACTTCCCACGGGCCATATTTTTTCCGGACACCTTGACCGCAGGGCAGCCCGGTCAGCACTCTTCTGACGGATGAAATCCGACGTATTCAACAGCAGGCGTGGCAGTCCTTGAGTTGTGCAGCAGTATGACATACAGAGCTCATTGGGTCATGGTTGTGGTATGTTGTGGTGCTTGAGTCAAGGCTTGTGTCAAGGTTTGCCTCATCCAAGGCATGCAAGGCATGCAAAGATATGCAGAGCATGGAATGTAAAATATGCCATGGGACCATGTGCGTCATGCCATGTGACCCCGTCAGAACCCAGTGCTCAGGCCATCACGGTGGAACAACAACTTCAGGTCGTGGGCTCCGGACCTCGCGATGGGTTTGGAAAGTTTGAAAAAAATGCACCGCATTGCGAAGATATCACCTATACGGAAGCAAAAGATGAGGAGATATGAGAAGTGTCCTTTTTTCGCTTGGTCAGGTGACTAAAAATACTTGAATAGGTTGTGATGGTTGTGCCTGTGTTTGTGTCTGTGTGTGTGTGTAGTGTAGTGTGTTGTCTTGTGCCCACGGTGGTTTTCGCTGTCTTCAATGCCAAGTTATACAATCAAAGGTTTCCACCCAACTAAAGATATTTTGAGATTGAGGATAAAAGTTGGTAAAAGTGATAAAAGCGTACAGAGCATTCTTTGTTTCAAAAAAAACCAAAGCCTGGATTCCTTTTGACCCAGCACCATTTCACCCACCTGCTGGTCGGCAAGTGTGATACTCGGGAGAACTGCCACTGAGGAAAGAAGTGCAGAGCTGATTGGACTGAAGCAACAGCAGATGGATGTGAAGGCATGCCAGCTACATGTACGGGATGGTTTCGTTCCCAAATGTGTTGATTGTGTGGCTGCCCCCTTTGGAAGACACCATATGCACCATATGCTTCTTTAACCAAACTCCAAGTATTTGAATCTAGGTCCCTAGGTATAGCAGATGTTTTATAGTTGTGGAATGTTGTGGAGTTGTATCATGTTGTATCCCTGGCGTGTAGATTGAAATTGCTGTAGCCAGGTGCAGGCTGATGATGAAGCTTTGCAGGCTTGGCCGGCCACCTTCGAAACGCCTTCGAAAGGATGGCGATCAGCAACGACTTCCATAGATTTCCAGGGTATGGCTACATGTGTCGACTGTGCATACTTGTATGTGGACGTGGGAAGATAGATTAATATTTATACAGAGGCAGGAAGGATTCGGTTCAGTTCGGTTCGGTTCGGTTCCGCGGGCTATCCGAAAACGATCGAAAACGGCTCAGAACAGCAAATCCGCCATTGCATGACACGGCATGTTCTAGTGAACGTTTTGGCTGGGTTCGGCGCTGTTTTGGCTGTTTCGGGTTCGTTGGGGGAAGCATCTCTCTTTTCCATTTCTGTTGCCCGTGCTTCCTCAACGAACGAAGACAATTTAGGCACTTTGCTGGGATTTGCGGCTGTTTCGGGTTCATTGGGGCAAGCGCCTCTCTCTTCCATTTATGTTACCCGTGCTTCCTCAACGAACGAAGACAATTTAGGCACTTTGCTGGGATTTGCGGCTGTTTCGGGTTCGTTGGGGAAAGCGTCTCTCTCTCTCTTCCATTTCTGTTGTCCGTGGTTCCTCAACAAACGAAGACAATTTAGGCACTTTGCTGGGATTTGCGGCTGTTTCGGGTTCGTGGTTCGTGGTGCATACGTTTCACATACGTTTATTTATGACTCGTACTGTGAAATCAAGCGCAGTGAAATATGGTGCGCAGATAGAGATGCCAGCAGACAGAGATGGATAGAGGTCGATAGAGATGGATAGAGATAGATAGAGATAGATAGAGAGAGAGAGAGACAGAGACAGAGACAGATGGAGATAGATAGAAATAATTAATTTGATAGATAATCATTGATAAATAGGTAGGTAGATAAATTAATAGATAGATAGATGTAGATATTTTAATAGATAGATAGATTGATAGGTAGATAGATGGATGGATAGTTAGGTAGATAAATGCAGAAACATATAATAAATGATAAATAGATAGATATGATATAATATAATATATATATATAGATAGATAAAAAGATAAACATATAAATAGATAGCTGCGTGCATGCATTGTAACATTGTAGATACAACACGTAGGGTGTTTGAGAATGCAACCTCCGCATCAAGTGCCAGATCCTGGTTTCCAAACCCTGGCTAAGCTGGGCCAAAAGGCTTTCTAATGAACTTGGATAAACTCGGTCGGCCTTGGTTTCTCATTGCTGGATTTGTTCAGCTCCAGGTGATCAATGAGATCAAAGTTCAGTTTCACTCAAACCAGCGCGGGTTGTTCCGCTAGGATTGCAGCTGAAAGTGAGTTCCTCCAAGACAGGATTTCTGTATTCTATCCACTGAGGAGTTGAATTGCATGGCAGGTTGAAATACCGACTGCACATGCAGGTTGTGTGGACACATTGGACAGCCCGCGGTGCAGGTGAAAGCAAAGATCCAAGAAATTTGGCAAAGCTTGGCACTCTCGGCGCATTGCTCAGCTGAACAGAGGGTGCCCGCTGGCCCCATCTTACGGTGACTGCTTTTATGCAAAACTCCAACTGAAGTGACGGGAAGCTTTGGGGCTTCCCTTACGGCCCCGTCAATTTCTGTGAAGCTGTAGCCCATTTGCGTTGGACAGCACTGGTGCCCTCAGGCAATGGCAGGGTGATTTGCAGATGTTCGAATCACGTGGCCGTGAAAAGAGACGGATAGTTGGATGGTATGCTGGGGCTGGTTTGGGTGAATTCCACCCCGATCCTTTTGGGGAGACTACAGGACAGGGCCAAGCACAAAACAGACGTAAGGCACTGTGCCAAAAGGGTCAGCAAGAGCAAACGTCACGGTGAATGTGAATTGACGAAATTGACTTGAATTGACCATGCAACCATATTTGAGATTATTTGAGTGCCATAAATTTAATCCCGTCCAGGTAATTGGTTCTTCCGGTTCAAACGCTGATGCAACATGGGAATACTGCATGCTTCCAACAAAAGGGGAGCCAAGTTGTCCAGTACAGCAAAGATCAGCAAAGCCTGTTCTGGGTGCGCTAGTGGACTTATCGAAGGAAGTTTAGAAGTCAAACTTCCAGATGCAGTAGCAGCATGTAGCAGCGGTGAGAGAACAGTGGTGAGAGCAGCCAGAGAAGAGAAAGAGTCAGAAGAAAGAAGATCAAGGTACATCAAGGTGATAAAGTGGCGGGTGCGGAGGCGTCTTGCCAGATAAGAGATCAAGAATTGCGCGCCGCTGTGGCGCAAAGCACATTTCGAAGTAAAAAAACTCAAAAACACCTCGGTCTCGGAGCATTTTTGGAAAATGAGATGTCGAAAAAGTGCACGCGACTGTGGCGCGAAGCACATTCGGAAGTCAAAATGAGCAAATCACGTCAGTGTCGGAGCACTTCTGGAAGTTGAGTTGTTCAAAAAATGCACGCCGCTGTGGCGCAAAGCATATTTTGAAGTCAAAATGGTAAAAGCACCACATGTTCGGACCACTTTTGGACGTTCAATCGTCATATTGGGTGACAGGGGATTCGGCACCTTGCCAAAAGTGCGCAAAACGTGAGGTTTTTTGCTGCAGTTTCAAATATTATAGCAGGCGTGAGACTTTGGAAGAGGGTCTGCTAAGATGCATTTCGCATGGCAGGTGCCGTACAAGAGACGTCCCCATCAGACATGTTAAGAAGTCAGGGCGCTGATTTCCTGAGAAGGGTAGCATTTTGGAGCATCAGATCTTCAGGTTTACGTTTGCCAAGATGATGATGCGTGACAGGTGCAACACTTCGTATGACCTGGCCTCATTCTTTTGTGGCAGGCGCAATACATCGCAATACTTTTTGAGAGAGTGCAGCCGACATCTGCAAATCGAATTGTAACTGTGATATCAGTGACATGTCAGATTTGCAGGAAGCCTCACAGAAAATAGTTTTCAACTACCAAATTTGAACTCCGTCTCGCGGAAAAACTGCGGTTTTGAGCTTTCAACTTTTGAATTTGTTTTTCAGCTTTGAACTTCCACTTTTGAAGGAAGTCTCGCGGAATTGCTTGGTGTTTGACGTTGTAAACTTCAAAAGTTGAGGAAGTCTTGCAGAAGTGCTCCGTTGTTGATGTTGTCGCCTTTGAACTTTTGACGAGGTCTTGCAGTTTTGCTTCGTTTTGGACCTGGCAATTGTTATTTTTGATGGTAGCGTCGCATAAGTGATTACTCTTGGTGATATACCGATAGATAGACACATAGACAGGTGGATCGATAAACGGATAGATAAACAGATAGACAGGCAGATAAATAGAGAGATAGATAATAGAAAGAGGGATGGAAAGCTAGATGGATTGATAGATAGAGAGATACAGAGCTAGATAGATAAAGAGACAGGTAGATAGATTGATTGACTGGTTGGTTGATTGATTGATTGATTGACAGTCGATGCACATTTGAAAGAAGTCTCGCGGAATTGTTTTCTTTCAGATAGGAAGATAGAAAGATAGATAGATGGATGGATGGATAGATAGATAGAGGGATAGACAGATAGACAGGTAGACAGGATAGATAGATAGGTAGAAAGATAGGTAGAGAGATAGGTAGAGAGATAGATAGAGAGATGCATAGATAAGTACATAGATAGATGAATAGACATATAGATGGATAGATAGATAGAAAAATAGATAGATAGATAGACAGATAGATAGACAAATGGATAGATAGAGAGAGAAGGTGAGAGAGAGCGAGAGAGAGAGAGAGAGAGACTCAGAGCCTCAGCCACCTCTCGATCCATCAGTGGGTTCGCTCTGCCATCCATCCATCCATCACAACAACTCACCTCTCCTATAGTTTCCTATCTTTGAAATTTCCGCCACCGCCTTGTGCGGTGCTACTGGTAGTTTCAGAAAATGTCTTGTCAGAAGACATAATAAGAGAACCCATGCAATGCTCCCAGTTGGCATCTTACAAACTTGTGCCGCTCGTGGCTCGGACTTGTGCCGCAAAGCTGTCCCAGCAGTCAGACTGTTGGCATTTGGGGACGCATGAAAAAAAAAAACAATGCAGGCAGATCCTGCTGCACAGTCCCCCAATCGAATGGCTACCCTGTGAGTTTTGTATCGGAATAGCTCCGGCCATGTCCCGGGAATCATGATGGATCCCTGAGAAAGATGCAGAGGATCAAATTGGGGCTGTGGGCAATGCCCCTTCAGCGAAGCAGCTATATCAACAAAGAGTGAAAACCCAACAAGCGAAAAATCCAAAAGATCAACAGGTGGTGCGACTTCGATCCATCGTGCGCCCATGGCGGCACGCCCAACCATTGGAAAGCGGCTGCTGTCAGCGCCTGCTTCCAGGCATCAGCAGAGAAGGAGGATGTGGGCGTATGCAGACAGATGTGTTCATGTTTTTTGTTGCACAGGTGACCTGTCGCAGGGGTTTCAAAACGAAAAATATAATCATATATAATGTCATAATGTATTGTACGTTCCAAACCCCAACTTCAAATCGAATTCTGTGGCTTCCAGAAGACGTTTTGGAACTTACAGTACACCATACAATATGCTGTACTAGAGACAATGTGCACTCATATAACATGATACAATACCCCTGGTTTTCGGCCAGGAAGAACGTGCTGATATTTGTTCTTGTTGTTTTACGTCTGGGATATACTGTATGTACACAATCAGTGTTCTGTGTTGTTCCTTCTTGCGTGCCTTTTTTCTTGTTTCATAGGCTGTCAACTTTGAAGCAGATTGGAAGAGTGTTTGAAACATCTTGAAACTCTGTACAATCTACAGCCCGAGGCCTGGTGAGGCGAAATATCCTCGACTTGCACATGATGCTGAGCCCCAGCCTACCCCAACCAGAAAGGTCACAACAGCGGGCCAAGGTTTTGCTCCGGGGGTGCCCACTGCCCGAGCACCACGCCCAGGGCCTGCACAGCCAGTGCTGCGACCGGCCTTGCGACCAGCGTTGCCAAGGCCTCTCTTGCCACGAGCAGAAGCAGCTTCCAGAGCAAGGCACACGTGGGCGGCACGCCCAGCTGGCCCAGTGATAACACCTGCGGCGCCAGTGACACCGACAGCACCAGTCGTAACGCCAATGACGCCAGCGAAACCAGCACCGGCAAAGGTTCCTGAGCCGTCAGCTCCACCAAGGGTGCCTCCCAAAGCGATGCCCACCGAACCACAGCCCCCACAGCCCAAAGCAATGCCTGCTACGCCACCACCAAAAGCAATGCCTGCCACTTGGACCAAGCATCAGAAATTAGACAGGGTGGAGTTGAATTAAGTTTTTAACAATTTCTGGTACAAGTGACCTGACCCTAGATGACCATGGTTTCTTGAAGCTTGACTGATGAGAACTGGAGAATGATAAAGCGAAGCAAACACCACGGTTCAAAGTTGTTCTGTGGAAATGAATAGAAATGAGACAATGAAGAATAAGCGGGGCACGGGCCAGAAGCGTGCGTTTCTCTTAGGTTCAAAGAAAGATGCCACAGGACAGGGGAAGTTATTGAACAACATGTTCCAGCACCGAGCACGTATCAAAACAGCTTGGCGTCGATTTGTACTGTATGACCCGGAACCAACTGTCCCCTTTTAACTTATGAAAACATTTGGAGGGTTGTATTTGGAATTATCATCGCAGATCTCCTAGGTATGAGATCCAGGAATATTCAGCATTTTTTGGAAAGCTTGATGATGCTATTCAATCCATCAGACACACAAAGTGGTCAAGCTGCTTGAAAGATACAGGTGACCAGTCGAACTAAGAGACATGAGCGGCTATTGTTTTCTTGAGACCTCCTACAAAACACCGAAAATCTTTGGAAGAGCTTGGGTGTTCGAGTAAGAGATCGCTGTGTCAGTATCCCCATTCCATTTGAATCGGCCTCGCGTCTCACGCAGGAGAAGCTAGTGGTTTATGCAGAGGGCAACTTGTCTTCACGTCCAATTCTTCGAGTAGACCATCTCAGATTTCATCTCTACAAGTTGGCCATAGTTGGACTGTACGATATGCACGCAATGTCCTCTGTTGTCGTCTCATATCTACCTTCTATCACTTGTAAGCATTTAGAACTACCAATCTTAACATAATAAAACAATATATAACATCATTATAAAAAGTGACTATAACATTATTAAAAGATTTTGCTTTGCATTCAAGGGTCCAAAAAGACCCAAGGGTCCAAACTGGGTCCAGCTGATGAATCTCGCGCAAGCCTCGCTCATGTCCTTTTTCTCGCTCACACCCAAAATCATCCAAGTAAGGATTTGTCAGGACAAACAAATCAGTGACAAAAGGTCTGCTCAATTATGGGGCATGTTACAATTTGAATTCTCTTTTTTGATCTGTCCTGATCACATTTGCCTGCTTAAATGTATGCAAAATGCAAAATTCGTGGCATCGTCATGTTGCTACTCGAGCTTGGATGCTTTCTGCATCACTGGCCGGGCTCAGCTTCAGCTCGGACACGCTCGGATGTTTTTGCTCCGTGCCCTGGACCTGGACCTGGACGGCCTGTCACGGAGAAACCGCCCGGCTTGCGACAACGGGGAGGGCACGGAGCTGGGGAGCCATGGCTGGCCAGGGGTAACACAACGGGAGAAGAAGAACGGGAAAGTGATGCAAAATGAGAAATGTCACTTTTATAGTTTGTAAACTAGGAAAAGTTGCTTTTGTAACATATTGAAATTGTAAAATTATGCATATTTGCTGAATACTTTGATATTTTTTGAAAAGTAATTTCTATCCATATTTTTTGTCCACAACCAATCTTAAAACATTCACTGGTTCATTTTCAAGGTATTGGAATGAAATTTAAAAGTTTTTTTTTCAAAATATTTTTTGTCAAAATATGTTCAAAAAACTAATTTCTATCCTTAAATTATGTCCAAAATCAGGTTTAAAACATTCAGTGGATCATGCTCAAGGTATTGGAATGAAATTTAAAATATGTTTTTTTCGATTTTTTTTGGTCGAAATTTGGTTCAAAAATGACATTTCTATCAAAAATATGTCGTGTCTAACCTTAAACCCTACATCCGTTAATAATCATAATGCACAATATGCACATAAGCACGCTATTTCCACACAACGGGGTGTTACAACGGGGGAGACACAACGGGAGAAGAACAACGGGGAAAATGATGCAAACTGCGAAATGTCCTTTTGCGAAAAACCGCCATGCCCAAAAATATGTTTTGCGAAAATCTGGTTTCCCCAAGGATGTGTTTGCGAAAATCCTGGATATCCAGGACCGTGGTTTGCGAAAGATCAGGGTCAGATCTTTCTCAAAAGATGTTTTTACCCATGTTTTGCGAAAAACCGCCATGCCCAAAAATATGTTTTGCGAAAATCTGGTTTCCCCAAGGATGTGTTTGCGAAAATCCTGGATATCCAGGACCGTGGTTTGCGAAAGATCAGGGTCAGATCTTTCTCAAAAGATTTGCAATTGTTAAATTATTTGTTGCTACATGTGCGCATATATTGATAAATGAGGAAAACAACATTTTTTTTGCGAAATGTGGGATTTGAATTTCACTCTCTGAATAGTTTTTTTTCATGAACAGTTTGCGAAAAAACAACATGTCCAGGATTCTTTTTTGCGAAAATCCTGCTTCCCCAAGAATGTGTTTGCGAAAATCTTGGGGAATCAGGACCTTGGTATGCGAAAGATCTGGGTCAGGTCTTTCTCAAAAGATGTTCCATGTTTGTATGTCATATTAAAATATATACATAATGTATGTATATGTGATGTCGCTATATTATATATGATGACAGGAAATCACCTTTTTTTTTGCGAAAAACTTGTTTTCTCAAAAATGCTGGCCACAAGTCGCTCAGATTGATCGCAAAATGGCAGCTGGATAACATCTATGTTGAACCCCTTGTTTGCGAAGAACCAGGGCCTGGTTCTTCTCAAACAACTGCTTGTTCCCTAGCACTGCTTTGCGCAAGCCTCTGGTTTGCTTAAAACACCCCAGGTATCAGCAGCCTGTTTGAGAAGAACCAGGCCCTGGTTCTTCGCAAACAAGGGGTTCAACATAGATGTTATCCAGCTGCCATTTTGCGATTAATCTGAGTGACTTGTGGCCGGCATGCTTGAGAAAACCTACTTTTCGCAAAAAAATGTTGTTTTCCTCATTTATCAATATATGCGCACATGTAGCAACAAATAATTTAACAATTGCAAATCTTTTGAGAAAGATCTGACCCTGATCTTTCGCAAACCACGGTCCTGGATATCCAGGATTTTCGCAAACACATCCTTGGGGAAACCAGATTTTCGCAAAACATATTTTTGGGCATGGCGGTTTTTCGCAAAACATGGGTAAAAAAAATCTTTTGAGAAAGATCTGACCCTGATCTTTCGCAAACCACGGTCCTGGATATCCAGGATTTTCGCAAACACATCCTTGGGGAAGCCAGATTTTCGCAAAACATATTTTTGGGCATGGCGGTTTTTCGCAAAACATGGGTAAAAACATCTTTTGAGAAAGATCTGACCCTGATCTTTCGCAAACCACGGTCCTGGATATCCAGGATTTTCGCAAACACATCCTTGGGGAAACCAGATTTTCGCAAAACATATTTTTGGGCATGGCGGTTTTTCGCAAAACATGGGTAAAAAACATCTTTTGAGAAAGATCTGACCCTGATCTTTCGCAAACCACGGTCCTGGATATCCAGGATTTTCGCAAACACATCCTTGGGGAAACCAGATTTTCGCAAAACATATTTTTGGGCATGGCGGTTTTTCGCAAAACATGGGTAAAAAAATCTTTTGAGAAAGATCTGACCCTGATCTTTCGCAAACCACCGTCCTGGATATCCAGGATTTTCGCAAACACATCCTTGGGGAAACCAGATTTTTGCAAAACATATTTTTGGGCATGGCGGTTTTTCGCAAAAGGACATTTCGCAGTTTGCATCATTTTCCCCGTTGTTCTTCTCCCGTTGTGTGGAAATAGCGTGCTTATGTGCATATTGTGCATTATGATTATTAACGGATGTAGGGTTTAAGGTTAGACACGACATGTTTTTGATAGAAATGTCATTTTTGAACCAAATTTCGACCAAAAAAAATCGAAAAAAACATATTTTAAATTTCATTCCAATAACTTGAGCATGATCCACTGAATGTTTTAAACCTGATTTTGGACATAATTTAAGGATAGAAATTAGTTTTTTGAACATTTTGACAAAAAATATTTTGAAAAAAAAAAACTTTTAAATTTCATTCCAATACCTTGAAAATGAACCAGTGAATGTTTTAAGATTGGTTGTGGACAAAAAATATGGATAGAAATTACTTTTCAAAAAATATCAAAGTATTCAGCAAATATGCATAATTTTACAATTTCAATATGTTACAAAAGCAACTTTTTCCTAGTTTACAAACTATAAAAGTGACATTTCTC